GCAGCTTTGAAAGTAGTCAAGACCAACAAGTCATAAAATTGTCAGATATATTATTGCACATAAAATATATATATATATATATATATATATGATTTTCTTTAATTATATTTAGGGGCTAATTTGTAATTAAATATATTAATTCATGTATAACTAAAGTGAAGTTTTGTCCTTGAATCCATACCCAAAATGCCGACCTCAGCTGACTGTCATAGATATCATTATTACTGATGTTGTGAAATTTTTGAGGGAATTGAACAAGTGCTAGAGAGGGTGATATCTTTGGGTCAAGATGGAAACACATTGCTTGCCGAGCCGAACTTGGATCATGGCAATGCATGTCACAATCTAGCCCTAATATGTAAGGAGAATTGCTTATCACACCAGAGACCCGTAGCTGAAAAACAATAAGTGCACAATATATTAATTTACACGTAAATAAATAAATAAATACCTGGATACGTAGAAAAATTGTTCACTTGTCAAATAGTCGGACATGTATAAGTTATGTCAGACTGTCACTTTGAATCGATAATAAAATGAATTATGAGTTTGAATGTGTGGTGCTAGATTCATAGCCTTGGTAATACTGAATATACTATAGATATTTGATAAGAGAATATTACTGTAAATGCATAAATAGAGGAAGATTAGCGAAAGATCACAAGATCAAAAGAAAGAGATACATACAAGAACATTGAGCGCTCCAGCCTTAAAATGGTGGGGATGAGAATGCCTTTTCTCACGAGAAACATAAACAAGGAGAGGCATACTTTTGGTTTCATTTTCTTGAATTGCATCATCACTGGATGTTTCTTGAATAACCTGCCAAATTTCCAGATCATGAATTTACGTTAGGGGTGGGGACATATATTTTCTCTTTTTGTTTTTGTTTTCATTTTTGTTTCTGTTTTGTGTGTGTGTGTGTTGGGGGGGGGTTGGGGGGGGTTTGTGTGTGTGTGGGTATGGAATGCTTTCCATCTAGCTAACTGCGTGTTATATATACATCCATTAGTAAAGGACAAAATAGGAAAATGCACACTTGTCGGTTGGCAAACCTGAGAAGAACTTGGAAACTTGGCAAACCTAAAAACTCATTGATATTTATTTAGAAGGTGTAAAAGTAAAAGATTTCTTTTACATTAGTCAACAAACAATACCAAACGTTGAAATATACCTCAATCACTGCAGGGTGATCTCGACTCAGTCCGCTCCTTGTGTCCCCAACCGTTGCTCTTTCTCTTACTCTTTTCTTGAACACCTCATATTTCTCCTGCACCCAAATCTCCCCCATCAACTCTGGTAGCTAGAAACACCATTAATATAATATATAATGTATTGTCACACATGTTCCATGGCCAGCTTTGTAAGTAATAAAATGTTGTATTGGTTAGTATGCAAAAATTTCAACTCTCATTTTATCGCTAATTTTCAAAATAAATAAATTTCAACTCTCATTCACCTTAATATCTTCTCTCTCTTCAATGAACTCGCTGCCGCCAAAATCAGCATCCTCCTCTTCTGCAGAGAAATAAGCCTCCGGAGCCCTGCACTTGATCCCATACCTCCTACAAAATGGAAGCCACCACTTTGCAAACCTCCAAGCCTCTCTCATACCTTTCAAAGTCACAGCAGCACCACCATCATCGGACAGATACACATGAAGTTTCTCTGGCGGATAGTCCATTGCCATGGCAGATAACACAGTGTTCATCACCCCTACTGTTGGTTCCTTCTCCGGATTTGCAGTGCAGATGAACACATCAACAGCTGGGAGCTTATCATCGCCAGGCAGCCTCTCTGGGAAAGCGGTTCGCGAAACGGGACGCCATCGAAAAGACTGGCTGAGGAGCCACTCGAAGGATAGGAAGATTTCCGAGACAAACACAAGAAGCCATGCTAAGGTGGTTGCTTTGGTTTTGGTAGTGTCTTGGAAGAAGAAGAAAGAAGCTCTGTAGTAAAGCAAGAAGACTAAAGCTATAGAGTGGAAGAATATATGTGTCCGGTTGATGAAGATTGAAAGCTTGTGGACATGGCAGAGATGAAGGGGGAGCTTAGAAGAACTCTCCATATCTTCTTCTATTGTGGCAAGTTTTGTGCTTGGTATGTGCGTTCTCTCAACACACACAAATATCAACTACCTGCCCCCTCCAGCTCCTTTTAAAGGACCATAACACTGTTTAATTAAATAATTCAAAATAAATATGTAGAGGAATTGAGTGGTGATTGATATATGCCTGAATTTTATGTATTCAAGAGAGAAGATATGGTTCTGTTTCTGTGGTTGCAAGGGTCCAAAAGTTTAATGGTTCTGTGGGCTGTGGGGCCAACAGTTATTATTATTATTTTTTTTTTTTAATACAAGTGATAGTCTAAATTAAATTTTCACACACATTATTAAAGTGTCATAAGAGTTTGAATATAACATTATTGGTCTACAAGTCAAAGCCTTTTTTTATTAGGGTAGACCCTGTTGGCAAGGCAAACAATTATTTTATGACCAAACGACAGAGAGTTGGCTCATAAATTAAGGTAAAACTAAGTTTTATGAAAATTTAAAAATAAAAATATGTTGAAAATTGTTTTCAGTCTTCTTGATCAGCAAGACATCATGGCCGTCGCCGACTGACTTGTGTGACTATGTATTTCAATGAGGACGACTAATTACTTTCTCTACTTACATTACAATAATATGAGAGAGAAAGAGAGAGAGAGTTACCATTGACATCTCCCCAACTAATTTGTTTTTAATTACAAACGACCACTAGTGTAGTGGTCCTCAAAAAATTAATTTCTAATTATATCATTAACTTGTGATTCTCACACTTGTTATATGTTTGGATATTAATCAAGTTTACGCCCCAAAATTGGCCACAGATTGTCCAAGTCAATTACGTCTCATGTTGTTGAAACTTCACTAAAGCTTTTGGCACAATCTGCAAATTCTTGTTGTTTTTCATTGGCAAAAACGCGACGCCTTGGGGGAATCCTCTTCGTGATTTCCAAGAAGTTACAAAGAAGCTCATTCTATAGATACTGTAAAAGCCAACTCATGTTTCCACTCTATTTTCATTACGAAGATGTATCACGTCATACCATCGAAGACTGTCACATTTTGCGTGATGTCATCTATGACATGAATGATTAAAATAGTATCAATTGGAACGAAGTTAAGGCATACCTGAAAGCCGCCAATGTCACTGAAGCTAGTAATAACGGGATCTAATGGCAATCAATCTTGAGGCGCAAGAATAAAAAATATCAGTCCTAGAAAGAAAAGAACAAGGTGGTACGTGGTGGCTGTGGGAACCAAATTAAATCAGAACCCTAGGTCAAGTAATTCCTTCCTTTTGGGGATTATTTGACCTAATTGGGAATTACTAAACCTAATTGGGGGTTATTCAATTTAATTGGGGGTTATCCAATTAAATTGAGAAATCCCTAATTAATCAAATCCCTAAATACACCAACCCCACTAACCTCACCTACCACAATTAGGGATTTGATTAATTCCCTGATTAATCAAATCCCTAAATGTACCAACCTCACCAACCACACCAACCTCGTCAAGGCCCCCTATAAATACTTGGCCACGCACAAGGAATGAGGTACGTCAGAATTTCTACTAAAACTCTAGAGAGCTCTTCCCTTCACAAATCCTAGCCACCTCCTCTCTCTCTCTCCCTCTCTCTACATAAGGCTCCGGCCGCCCGGTTTTCACCACATATATATATCTCCGTACCCTATTTAGCTATTAATTTTTCCTAAATCAATTGAACTAACTTAGGCATCGGAGGGCCTTTGGCCAACACCCCCCGGGTGTGGTCCTCTTATCCAATTTATTTTGCAGGGAGAAAGAGGCGGCGAAGAAGAAAGGGGAATCTTTCAATCGAATATTCTTGTGGGAGGAAATTTGCTCCCACAGTGGCCAAGCCCCACACATTATAATTATTTTCTTAGAAAATAACACAAATTCGAATCTCATTTTAGATAGTTTTAAGTACAAGCTCTAAGCAGAAGTGGGTTATTTCAGCCGGTTAATGTAGTGAGTCAAGCCTCTTGAGTTCGAGTTTAATTCCAATCAAGTAAATTAATTTAAAGTAATTTATATTATCATTTGTATTTTAAAAAAGTTCATTTTTCAAAAAAATAATATTTTCCTTGAAGAACCTGAAATATAATATTAAGAAGTATATGCAATTGTGAGAGATTTATAGCTCAAGTGGTTATGAGCATTTACCCCTGCATCAAAGATCCTAGGTTCAATTCGTCTATGGGTCCAACTGGGGGCATGTAGTCAAACATTTAAAAGAGAGGTGCTGTTGATTATTGACAAAAGAAACAACTTGCTAAGTAAACTACAACAATGCCACTACAAGCCGCCATGGCTTCCCAAGGACCACAATAAAAGAAAATGATTCTTGCATTTGCAACAGTTTCTAGTTTTGATTTCAAATTCTAAAACATCATGGTTGGACAATGAGATTATGCAGAGGGAAAAAATGTAATTGAAACTAGAATTTGCAGATGCAACTTGACGAGTTAAAAGCCTAACTTACCATGATAAATCTATGAAGAAGACGAGAGCTTGGAGCAGAGGAAAAGAGCTCTGAGGATGCATGAGAGAGTTACATCTTACTTCCTTTGTGTATTTGGGTCGCTTGCTCGGGATTCGGGAAGGTTATAACAATGGAAGGAAGAAAATAGAAGACCGTTAATGGGGAGTAATTGATCACTTATTTTGAGTTACAAAGGAATGCTCTTTGCTTCTTCATTCACATCACCTCTCCACATG